TCTTGACTTACATTATAAATAAATGCTTTTGTAGTAATAATGGTCAATTTTATTACCGGAAAAGTTACTGGAATACCCTCGGACTTTTGCTTATATATTGCCTTTAACACCAGCAATTTATATGCACTAATCGTATGGCAGCTAACATAACAAACCAATGCCATCATGGTGTTTTAATTTGCAGTTTGTCTTTATGCGTCCGTTAATAATGTGGAAAAATTCTAAATTACAGGGAGATTATCACATATTAACGGGTCGTTTACACCTTTTTTCTGCTTTGCAATTCAACATTAACCCCTTGTCATCGATATTATGCCACATTACCAACGAAATTGCGGGGGCGATTTTAGGCAAAATGGTGTTGATTTTGGTACATCCTCAACCAATCGTGCAATGTAATTAGCGGTCCTTAGGAAAATTTTACCCAAATGATGATCGACAGAATCTATTTTTCCAAAATTACGAACTTTGAGTTCCAAATCGAGAGGTGGACCGTACCAACTCATTCGAGGACAACACTTATCCAATTCCCAAAAAAATCACCACAAATTTAATTTAACACTAATGTGGAAGTACAAACTGCATACGAGACCAAGACTATAGAAGTAATATTGTACTTAACAAAGAAAAAACCAAGACCTTGCTATCGTCAATTTCCTGGATGTCTAAACGAGCTGTCATTATATTTAATTTATTAATCCAATTACGACTAACGACTATGTCTAAATTTCCATTAACGATATGTAGGTACCTTTGTAGTGTATGCGTTGCATACAACTGGTACTATCATTTGATGTACCTACAACAGGAAAAACTTGATTCGTTTAAACATGGTTGTCGAAGAACACCTCGAGGAATACGCAACATCATTTTAGACAGTTTAGAATTCATTCAGTTTAAAACACAGTTCCGGTCTAAAATTAACAAAAAAAAACCTTAATACCGAATTAATCGAAGTGCTGCCTCCTGGAGAAGTTATGGACTTTAAGGTCTGTCGCAAACAACGTCAATGCTAATGCTACTTGCCCACATGAGTAATTTTTTGGTCCAACTGCAAACGGGGGCTGGTTTTTTTATACATAGTGTCCCAAGGAAAAATCCAAAAAAAGTACAATTTATGTATACCTGTATTACCTGAAAATTGCTAGCTAGGGGGTATGTATACGTTTCATTGTACATGGCGGTTCAAATTCGTGGCTCACCATTGGGATCTCAGTAACGGTGAGAGATATACTGTAGGTAGGTTGAATGGGGGCAAAGTTGCCGCTTTTTGTGTCTAAACAACGCATTTGAAATTTTTGAAAAATCTGAGATATCACGGCAAAACTGAAAATGTCAAATTTCGTTTTTCGGTGATATCTCAGCCATTTTCAAGGATTTTTCAAAAATGTCAATAATTTTTAGTTACAAAAAAGGGCAACCCCCCCATTAATCTACACTGTATCTCGCCGTTTCGGAGATCCCAACGGTGAGCCACAAATTTGAACCACCCTGTACGGACTAATATTACACATCCTCTGGAATTTGGCTCTATCAAGAAAAACATAACTCACATAGCTATGGCCTATTGGGAATTACTGGCCAATGCATGAAAAGTCAATCGGCTTAGCGTTGAATCCTTTTTACTTGTTACAATAAACGTATATTACGGAAAAATGCGGTAGTTTTTAAGCTAAAAATAACATAAACTTGAGGAAACTTCCATTTATGCCCGACCAATCCCCCGTATACATCGCATAAGCGGATCTTATTATGGTTGGCAAAGCCACTAATTGATAAACATATGGACTATGGATCCTCTTTCTTTGGAAGCCTTATCTCAAGCAGAAATATATCCAACTGTAGAAAATCGCCCATTCGCTACCACACAAAAAATAGCATCTACAAAATCATTGAATTGCTCTGCAACCAATGATTCTGTTTTCTGCACTAGGTAATTTGATGCAAAATTTGCTGTCTCAGCAATTGACGCAATTTAACCAATCAAATTAATAGACTTTGAAAATAATGACGTTGATGTCAGTGCCTGGACATGATACGTAGTTGGTAATATACAATAATAATAATAGAAAATAATGACTTATGAATATTTATTACCCTTAAGGGAAAATGTAATAAATTATGAGTTTAATTATTTTACATGAGTATTATGTTTCAAAAATAGACCAATCAATGAACTAAATTACATGTTAAAAACATATCAGCATAAATTACTGGTGTAATGTTAAATTAATAACTTTAATTACAAAGTGCAATTGCTAAGACCCATGCTACAAATACTAAAGTTGTTTGGACTTAAACCTTCTAATAAATCTATTGGTTACGGAGAGTCGTGGGTTACCAAACATTTCTTTAATTTGGTTTTGTTTCGTTATAAATGGGCGGTGGGCAATTTTGTATGTTAATTATGGGAAAACTGGAACTCCGAGGGTATGTTATTATTGATAAATGTGACGGTATATTATGAGAGAAAAACGAAGGGATAATTGACATATTTCCGAGCCCAATATACATTGCGGAAGGAAATTCAATGAGATAGATTTGTATAACTGGGGAGGGTTTCTTTCGCACCTTCTCCTTTTTACAAATATACTTGGATAGTTTGGAGAACACATTCATATTGGCAATTTTAATGTTCATTTCAATAACTTAAAATTAAAGCAACCTCTGTTTTTTCATAAATTTTACGGTAACTTACTGATATACATTTAAAAACTAAATCTTTCTTTCGGCAAAACGGTTAGGTATTTCCATTTCGTTAAAATTTTGGCAGTGTAAATTAGGGATAAAGGTAAACGGTTTTTAAAAAGTAAATTTCATTTTTTTCCCGAGTACTTTTTCCTAGAAAAGGTATCAGTTTCAGAGGATGGTTTACTGGGGTTTAACTGCACCTGCATAAACGAAATGAATTGGGGTGTAGGGTCATTTCTTTTGTGAGTTGCGGTAAATTTTTCCACTACCAGTTTCGTAATCTTATATTTGAATGTCACTTAATTAATTTACCTACCCCATTTAACTGGAGTCAGTCGATTATTACGGAAACTAGCCGATTTAATGATGTACAATTTCACACACGTGTCCGTCAAGGGTCAAGTGTAGGCCATTTTTTTTAAATAGAAACCAATACTGTTTATTGCATATTCTACATCTGAAAATAATAAACTTTCGAGGGAAACGTTTTTTCCCTACACTTGCCATTTTTTGAAGACACTCTTCCAAAAGGGCGATTTTTGGTTTGAGCTAGGAAGCTGTTCTGTCAAGAATTTGGCACATTTTTCTTTAAAATGAAGAAAAAATGAATGAACATAAATACTACCCTTTAAATCCTCAATTACTGTTTAAATTTAGCTATTTAAAACTGGTGAAGAAATTGGTATGTGTAATTTATCATTAAAGATTTTCTTAATTAATTAAAGAACCTGGGAATTACATCAAAATCTATTTTCCCTCAAATTATTGGTTTGGTTTCACAAATCATTTGTATTTGCTTGGCGGTATACATTCTTCTGGAAAGATAGTCTTTGGGATAACATAAACCGCGGCAATTATTACAGTTAATTTCCAATTTTAAACAAACAAAAGTAGTATCCAACTTCTGCTATACTGCATCGATATGAATATTGTATGAAGTCACTGAATAAATGTCTCTCAAAACTTTATATTTATTGCGGTTTCGAGAGTTTTTTATTCCGTTTTTTGTTTTCTTAACTTTTTCACTAATTTTCAGGTATTTTTTTGCTGCTTATAGGATTTCTTTGCACCGGAAGATCTTCATATCAAACAATCTTTATTAGACGACAGCTTGGCAAAACCTTTTACAACAAATTTAACTTAACAGTTATAACACAATAAAACTAAAATCCATTTTTCCTTTTTTTTTACAACCCACGTCCACTTCTCACCTCCTCCCCCCTCATTCAGCACCTCACTCCCACTTCTCTCTGTCTCCACCTTCTTACAGTTCCATAACACATGTTTTATCTTCTATTCTTCCTCTGCGTATTCTTTTTCACTGTTATTTTATTTGTGGTCTTTATTTTTAAGTGAGCGGGGTATCAGCCAAGGGTTGCTCCGCCACTGCGCCACACAGGCCGGCTTTTTCTTCCAGGCTCGCCAGGCTCCAAGGGAAGATTTTTGATAAAAGTTGTGTAATCAATTACCGAACTCCTGTACTACCTTACTTTTCTCGACGTTACCATATTACAGTTACCAAAACCTTTTAGGTCCTTTCAGGTCTCTCTATGCGCCAACCTGACTTCCTTGGCGCCACTCTTTTGACCTTTTCCGTTTAAGACAGTTGAAGGATGACCCGAGGACTCCCAACTCGCCCACCTTGGTTGTCGTTAGAAGTTCATATTTTACATAAGCAATTAAATTCAATGAGCGTAATGAGACGTCAAACAAATTGCTCTTAATTAATTAAGTTGCTGATCGCCGTAAATGGGCCAGCTAGCTGTTATAATCGTTTTTGAATTACGTAAGGGCAGTAGAGTTAACAGATTAATATTAATCGCACTTACTGGATGTATCTATCTCACGTCCCAGTGACAATATGCCTCGGCAAATAACCACTGAGAGATGAGAGAATGATTTGTGTCAGAAAATTTTCGTTCTCCGCTTGTTTAGGCAAACAAAATACATTCGGAGGTTGCACCAATTCAATCTGAAATGCCCAATACTGGGCCTAAGGTTCAGACGACACCTTTAGGGAGTAAAATATATAAGGCACCACACTGTCAAAACACTTTTCGCACTATTCTGCCTAAACTAACCACGCAAATAGCAAGGCGTTGACGCAAAACGGCCGTTTATAAAAACCAAAATGACTGACGTGCTATTCGTTTACAACCTGTTAGATCCACTATAGACGTCTGTAAACAATTATTTCCTCAGCAAGGTTACTTATCTACCTATCATAAATTAATTACTCTTGTTACACCAGTTAATGTTGGTAATTGTATGTTATTAATCAACTTTCGTCATTAGGATGCATATGGTTCAGTAGCCCAAGGAGTATAAGGGAATTGAAGAGTGAAGCATGCTGCAGTGTGTTACGTTATACATTGCATATATTATTGTAATCATTGTTTATAATTGCTAACAATAAAGTGCTCTTCAGCATAAAATCATTTAAAATAATAGTGTCACAATTCTGTTAGTATTTACATTGTTTGAAAATGTTATTGTACAAATAACGTGGGTTTCGTTTCAGATTCAGAATGGCACTTTCGGTTTGGACTATCGTTGACGGGTATCGAGACATTATGGACAATCAAAGCGGTAAGTTAGATTTTTAATAACGTACCACTTTGAAAACCTCTTAATTTCCAGATCCAAGGGTGAAAGACTGGCCGTTAATGGAATCTCCGCTTCCCACCTTGTGCATTTGCCTATCATACGCCTACTTTGTTAAAGTATTGGGGCCTAAGCTTATGGAAAATCGCAAACCACTCAATCTTACCCGAATTTTAATTGTGTACAATTTGGCGCAGGTGCTATTTAGTGCATGGTTATTTAACGAGGTAAGTTACGATTATAATACTACTAAATTCAATTTGCTAGTTTTAAACTTACAGAGCATAATAGGCGGTTGGTTAACCCACTACAGCTTTAAGTGCCAACCGGTCGACTATTCCAATGATGCGAGGGCACTTAGGGTAAGTCAATTCCGTCACCATTTGATCCTTTACAAAATTTTTAGATGGCACATGGGTGTTGGTGGTACTATATATCCAAATTCACCGAATTTTTTGACACAGTAAGTGATAGGCAGCCATTTAAACCTCGTACTGCATGTTCTCGTAGATTTTCTTCGTTTTGCGCAAGAAGAATAACCACATCTCAACGCTGCATGTAATACATCACGGAATAATGCCCTTGTCGGTATGGTTTGGCGTTAAGTTTACGCCAGGTGGTCATTCCTCGTTCTTTGGTTTTCTAAACACGTTCGTCCATATTGTTATGTACACATACTACCTGCTTGCAGCAATGGGTCCGCGAATGCAAAAGTACTTATGGTGGAAGAAATATTTAACCGCACTTCAAATGGTAACTACTCCAGATTTTGAAATGACGTTAATGCTTGTTGGAAACAGGTTCAGTTTGTCTTGGTGATGCTCCACGCGTTTCAACTGTTGTTCATCGATTGCGACTACCCCAAAGCATTCGTGTGGTGGATTGGTCTTCATGCAGTCATGTTCTACTTTTTATTTTCAGATTTTTACAAGCAAACGTACATGAAGAAAACGGCGAAGAAGATCGTGCAGGTACAAGTCAGTTAATTTAAATTGCTCATTTGAGACCTAAACATTTTAGGTCAATGGTGCCGTTGGCAACAAATCGAATGGAATATGTTTTACATCCCAAACACCTCTGTACGAAACATCCCAAAACGTTAAAGGGATCGCTAGAAGCTATACGTCCGAGAGTAACGCGGAGCTGAGACATCGGGCATTCATTGATAGCGCATGCATAAATGCCAATCATTGAGTCGTTGGCTTCTCTACTTTTTCCAAAGATAACGTAATAAGTGCAAAAGTGACCGACCGCGTGAACGTATGCAATGCTGGTGCGTACCTACTTTAAAACCGATCTACGATTTTCGTTTAGTTACTTACCCAATTCTCGTACTCGTACGAGATAAGGCTTGAGGAAAATTGTTACTACCTATCTCTGTATATAATTAGTCTTAGTTAATAGCGCAATTAATTAATTATTTTTTATAAATAACATTGTTTACGAAAGTGAAAAATATTTATTTGTTGCTCTATTTTTGTTTCCGTTTTTGAAATCGTGGTTCATTACATCGAGCTGGTTTCACTTTTTGAAAAGTCATTTCAACACCACCACCATTCGTCAGATTTCTTTTACTTGATTGGGGTGGAGATTGTGATGTGAGGAAATTTAATGCTGCTGGTAAGCACCTTACATTACTGAAACGTTTGCAATCTAGGTTACTGCTATGAATATCCAAACCCAAAAACCACAACAGGACAAGGCTGGCATCGAAAAAATAACCTGCACACATGCAATTAAAGCACTGTTTCGGATATCCCATTTCGTCTGCTATAGGTATTGGATTTGTATCGATATCGATCAATATATTAAAAAAGTTATCAATTTTTTCCTGGATACGTGCGTTTTCACCTGGAAACAAATAAAAAAATTGTACTGATCTTATCCCACCCGCAGGTTCGAAGCCAACATGACAAATTTAAAGTGGAACGTTGAAATCCCAGAATCAAAACACAGTTCCCGCTTAAATTTAAAAACAGGAATGGCACATGATCGGATCGTTTAAAGTAGGATCCCCTATGCTTGCGGAGCCCCCAATTAAGCCCAATTTCCACATAATGACATTGGTATAAAGCTGGTATAAAGCTCAGATATCCGTAACGACTACTGGTGCCTCGTAATACTCCCCTGAATTGGCCACATGTGTAGGTATAGACTAAACTAAAGTATATTAAAAATGGGGTGCCGCCCATGGATACGCCGGACCTGGGTTGCGGCTGCTTAGACGCCAAACTTCAAGGGCCCCAAATCCTTTTGTGCGTTAGCTCTAGAATACATTTCGATTCTAGCATCCGATTGGAAGGTATTAGTGCCATATAACAAGACACACACATTCATGAGTGTTACGAGTCACCCTACCCTAAGTAGGTACACAAATCATGGCAATCCCTCCCTACTTTACGGAAGTCAAAGTTTTACACATAAACCTGAGACATGGAGGCATCCCCACAAGCGCATGGGGCATTAGTTAACAATTAAGATTTTGTACATTCAATTACAACAAATCAACAGATGGTAAAGGTAATTTTTTCGGTCCATCGTTTGTTGCTAACTGTTGTTGCTAATCGTTTTGGTTATACGCATACAGGGCATGACGTGGAATTCCTGGAAATGTTCGTTGCTAACTTTATGGACCTCAAATGTTCATAGTGAAGAACTTGAGAACAACGTGAGGGCGTTTGAGAACGGAACTGGTGGAGAATTTGATCAAAACTAAAGAAAATTTGAAGGAAACATGAGGGGAAAACTTACAAAGGAATTTGAGGTGAGCTTGGGAGCTTGGGAATCAGTAAAAGATAACGCGCAGAGGAATGTGGGAGAAGCTGGCAGGAACATTGAAAAAACTAGAAGGAAACATAAAATGAATGAAAAGAGCTCATTGGAGCTAGGGAGTTTAAGGATAACTTCGGTAATCGGCCTGAGAATAAAATTAGTTGAAAACTGGAATATAATTTGAGGAAAGTAAATTAACAAGAACTTGAAAAGCATAACAGGAGAATGTTAGAGGGACTTAGGAATCAGTTTAGGAGACCTTGGAGAAAAAATTTAGACGATTTTGAACAAAACTTTAAGAAGACTAGATGAAAACTGTTGAATTTGGTATGAAACTGTGGCACAGTGTACTTTCTAGGGCCAAGCGATTGGATTCCCTTCCCCTTCGAGATTGATAAATGGTATCCCTAATCGTTCTAGAAGGGGAAGGGATAACGCGCAGACCACACGCTACCCCACACGTCAAATTGTCAGCGTTTCACTAAATTATTAGGCATCGAACTAGGCTTTTCGTGAAATAACGGATTTCACTAAATGACTACGACATTCAGTTGTTTTTATTTAAAAAAACAAATGAGTAGGTAACGAAAAACAATTGAACTCGCTGTGCACCTTTTCATTAGGCTAATTTGATAGAGATTTTTTTCTCTTTTCGATGTTAGTACCCTAATACTAGAACATTAAAAAAAAATTATTATAATTACGTCAATAACCCTTAATCTAGATATCCTACATGAAAATAAAACAAATGACTGTGTATAGTAATTTTTTTTTGAAAAATTTCTTGTAAAAGGGTTCTAACATATTACGTCATCGACAATGGTGTTGCCGGCCCGTGTGACGCAGTTCAGTTAAAGCTGGACTGTGGTCCCTGGTTGGAATCCGGGTTCGGGCATGGATATTTGTAAATGTATAGTGGGTTGGGCTGGTAAAGCAGCCTTGGCTGAAACCTCGCCCACTCAAAAATGAAGGCAAAAATAAAAATAAAAAATAAAAAAAATAAAAATAAAAAGAGAAAAAAAATCTCTATCAAATGAGCCTAATGAAAAGGTGCACTGCCATTTAAAAATACTCAATTGTTTTTCGTTTTTTAAGATAAGAACAATTGAATGCTGCCTTATTAAGGGAATGTAGACAAATTTTGTATACAGTCGATATTTACCGAGATGTATACTATATTCCACACATAATGGGCATCCTGTATTCTACATAGCATCATGCAATCGATGGAAAAGAATACGTATGTAGGCAGCCATTCAGACAATGCGGCATTGCGGATAGGATACCCATTACCTACAACCACAGATTTAAACAATCTTTAAATCTGTGCTCCAACTACATCAAACAATGCACAATATTACTCTTTGCCTACATCAAAGACCAACTATTGACCAATTTCTTGGTGGGAATCCATGGTGGTAAAGCTCAAAACGGGGTCAGAAAGTAGACAGTTGAATAGTTTAGTGTGTTAAATTCCTATTCAACTGTCTATTGACCAATTACTAAAAAAAAATGTTTGGGTTATTTGTAACAGGTTGTCTATGTCGGGATCTTTTACTAACAAGGTGCACATTATTTGAAATCTAAAAAAAATCATTTTAATTGTTCTTTCGTAATAATAACGCCCGCAGTACTTAACAGCAGAAGCCGAGATCCGACTGCAATTTCGACTTACCCTATACTTATGGATCTATGTTAAGCCGAATTTTTGGCACTACCCTCGTAAAACCGTAAATACCTATACCTATTCACAACAAAGCAGCTAGTCTGTAAAACTGACCAGAAAAGTAATTTTTTGATAGATTGTCGCATGTTCAATGGTACAACGGAAATAAATAACAATAAATATATAATAATAAATATAGCAAACGAGCTCCTGGTGGGTATAGCTTGGCATTGCGTATTATATGGCTAAAGCTATGCTCATTCTGAATGCAATGCAATTCGGTTAATAATAACGGAGATGTCAAAAGGGCCTTCCTTATTTTTTAGCCTACATTTCCAATTCACGAACTCCAACCTACAAATTTTATAAAAAATCCACCTGCAACATTTCATCGAAATCAGTCCATTCGTTTTCGATCATTTTATATCGTACTTCGCGTGACATTTGAAATAAGTTAGCCTACTCATTCAAACCTATTAAAATGCCACCAAAAATGCGGCCCAATTCACGTTTATCGTTTGCCGGTAAAATCGGAATTGAAACGATAATATATATTTTCTTGCGATAGATCATGAATAACAATGCTGGTATGCGCATTTTCATATTTCAATTATCAATCAGTCCTGTGATGTATCAGAAACGTCAAACTTAACGTGCAGGTTATTTGCCAAAAAAACGAGTACATTGGAATATGTAATTTGCAGACCAACAACTTTAAGGGCTTATGAGAAATAAGAGACAGCAATCGGAATCCAAAGTATAAACGTCAAAGCTTCAATTTATAGCTCCACGTTCTACTATAGATTTTGACATTTGTATTATGACTCGACATTTTGGTTTGAAGTTTTGAACTTTCAACAGTTTATATTCCTATCAATTCAAAAAAATTAATGAGATCCTCGCTGTGATTTCATATCTTGCAAGAGGTATGAGCTTGGACATTCGTCATTTTAACTACAATAACCGAAAAATGTTATTTTGCACACAGACCCAACTCGTTCAAGTTGCGTCGCTGGTTAAGCAGTCCTCGAAAAAATCTTGACTCAGAGAACGATTGGAACTAGGAAACCTTGCTTCAACGATGCGAACTCGTAATATTTTGGAGGTGGAAAAGGTCGTCTCTTTTACTGATGAAGCTTTGGTGCCAACAATGTGTAAGGTAGGTCAGAAACATTATATTTTGCGGATGCATAGTTTCGTTTCGGGGTGTAGTAGTGCGAATAAGATGTTAAGATGATAATAAGGGTAGATTAAATGATGGTAGCTGGATCGGTTGACCTACGTAAACATTCCACATCTCATTACAATCTTTTCTTCTGGTTCGTGTAGAATTCCACTGCATGAAGGTATGGAAAGATCAAGGTTTGAAGGTAGGTCAGTTACCGATGAAGCATTAAAGCAAGGTTACCTACTGAAAAATAAGATATGCATTTGTGTTTATTGTTTACGAACCAGCATTATTGTTTTACTTAAGGTTGTAGTTGTGCAAGAATCTTGCGATGAATAAATTCGCAGAGATGTCGACCTTCCACCTTGCTACTTGGTCAAATTGCAAACCCAATCGACCCTCACTTGTATGAAATACCGCGATTTTCTTTTATGGTCATTTGGAAAATTACCGATGCATACACCTTCTCATTCAACTAAATCATACAAGTAACAACAACAAGCAAGTTGGCAGTTATAATGGTTAATAATTAATAATGGGTGATTCAAAAATCGTCGGTTTTAATATTTCAAAAAAGGAACTTTTATTCTTAATTCGAATTCGTGGATATTTCGGGGTGTATTGACGTAAACCAATTATTTGAAATAACCCCAAAAGAAAGGGTTAACCCTTCAAATAGGTAATACATTAATATTAGTTACTCTTTGGTGAAATCGCACGATTTTGGGGGTGCGTTATTAGTGCCGAAGAAATTGGAAACGTGCAATTAATGAATAAAATCAAGATCTACGCCCATGGTTTGATATCAATAATAATTTTGGAAGTTTTTTGTCGCATAAAGTTATGTCAACAGTATACATTTTGGCAAAGTCGTATAGACTGTTTTAACTTCAATACACAAAAAATTGCAGGGCCTTATATAGCCCAAACTCGGCAACTTTAAACGAAGGTTTACTTAAATCGACTAATTTCGGTTTAAGAAACACGTGGTTGGCTGTTGTAAATACGTTTCCGGGAGACCCTGTATATACACAATTTTCTGAATAACTACAATTGATCGCACACCCCATATACCATATCTCTATTTATAAGCAAACCTTTGTACTAAGGAACAAGACTAAATAAACAAGGGATTTAATATCTGGTAAGGGATTTAATATCTGGTACCTATTCTATACTATGGGAAACGATGAACTCACAAGTCGCATTTTTGATGTTACAGTAAGTGTCCCCCAACATTCCTCTAGAATCCAGATGAAGTTTTTTATCGCTAAATTATAAAGTTTTACCATTTTAAATTACTATACTGCAGCCAACGTTCCGGAAATTTCCATAGAAATTGAGGCGCCATGAAAGATTTGTCATCGGCGATAAAATATGAGAGCGGATGTGACGTAATCTTTTCGAGAAATATGACGTATTTTATTCTAGAATGTTCGCGACCGCTCGGGAACCTTCGACTTGACTATATAAGCAAATCGGATTACGTTACAGTTTAGTTGCAATGAGAACGCCTATAAGTAATAAATGGTTCGCGCCATTATTCGTGAGTGACAATACTTTTACTATTATAAATTAATCAATTTCAAGACTGTCATAAATGTATTGTTAATTAGTTGTAATAAATAAAACCACGTAATTAAATTTACGTTGCAATATAGACAGAATATGTCTTAAAAAGCATTAATAAATATTTTGTAGACAGTTAATATTACCATTGTATATACAATGTTATTACGCATCGAATGCGCACATTAATATGATATTTACAAAATATAAGAAATAAA